CTGACTTACACAAACCAATGATTGCCATACACACTGACTTACACGGACCAATGATTGCCATACACACTGACTTAAGCAAACCAATGATTGCCATACACACTGACTTACACAAACCAATGATTGCCATACACACTGACTTAAGCAAACCAATGATTGCCATACACACTGACTTACACGGACCAATGATTGCCATACACACTGACTTACACGAACCAATGATTGCCAAACACACTGACTTACACGGGCCAATGATTGCCATACACACTGACTTACACGGGCCAATGATTGCCATACACACTAACTTACACGACCAATGATTGCCATACACACTCACTGACACAGACCAATGATTGCCATACACACTGACTTAAGCAAACCAATGATTGCCATACACACTGACTGACACGGACCAATGATTGCCATATACACTGACTTACACGAACCAATGATTGCCAAACACACTGACTTACACAAACTAATAATTGCCATACACACTGACTTACACGGGCCAATGATTGCCATACACACTGTCTTACACGGACCAATGATTGCCCTACGCACTGACTTACACGGGCCAATGATTGTCATACACACTGACTTACACGGACCAATGATTGCCGTACACACTGACTTACACGGACCAATGATTGCCATACACACTGACATACACGGGCCAATGATTGCCATACACACTCACTGACACAGACCAATGATTGCCATACACACTGACTTACACGGACCAATGATTGCCATACACACTGACTTAAGCAAACCAATGATTGCCATACACACTGACTGACACGGACCAATGATTGCCATACACTCTGACTTACACGAACCAATGATTGCCAAACACACTGACTTACACAAACCAATGATTGCCATACACACTGACTTACACGGGCCAATGATTGCCATACACACTGTCTTACACGGACCAATGATTGCCATACACACTGACTTACACGGGCCAATGATTGTCATACACACTGACTTACACGACCAATGATTGCCATACACACTCACTGACACAGACCAATGATTGCCATACACACTGACTTAAGCAAACCAATGATTGCCATACACACTGACTGACACGGACCAATGATTGCCATACACACTGACTTACACGAACCAATGATTGCCAATCACACTGACTTACACAAACCAATGATTGCCATACACACTGACTTACACGGGCCAATGATTGCCATACACACTGTCTTACACGGACCAATGTATGCCCTACACACTGACTTACACGGGCCAATGATTGTCATACACACTGACTTACACGGGCCAATGATTGCCGTACACACTGACTTACACGGACCAATGATTGCCATACACACTGACTTACACGGACCAATGATTGCCATACACACTGACTTACACGGACCAATGATTGCCATACACACTGACTTACACGGACCAATGATTGCCCTACACACTGACATACACGGGCCAATGATTGCCATACACACTCACTGACACAGACCAATGATTGCCATACACACTGACTTACACAAACCAATGATTGCCATACACACTGACTTAAGCAAACCAATGATTGCCATACACACTGACTTACACGGACCAATGATTGCCATACACACTGACTTACACGAACCAATGATTGCCAAACACACTGACTTACACGGGCCAATGATTGCCATACACACTGACTTACACGGGCCAATGATTGCCATACACACTAACTTACACGACCAATGATTGCCATACACACTCACTGACACAGACCAATGATTGCCATACACACTGACTTAAGCAAACCAATGATTGCCATACACACTGACTGACACGGACCAATGATTGCCATATACACTGACTTACACGAACCAATGATTGCCAAACACACTGACTTACACAAACTAATAATTGCCATACACACTGACTTACACGGGCCAATGATTGCCATACACACTGTCTTACACGGACCAATGATTGCCCTACGCACTGACTTACACGGGCCAATGATTGTCATACACACTGACTTACACGGACCAATGATTGCCGTACACACTGACTTACACGGACCAATGATTGCCATACACACTGACATACACGGGCCAATGATTGCCATACACACTCACTGACACAGACCAATGATTGCCATACACACTGACTTACACGGACCAATGATTGCCATACACACTGACTTAAGCAAACCAATGATTGCCATACACACTGACTGACACGGACCAATGATTGCCATACACTCTGACTTACACGAACCAATGATTGCCAAACACACTGACTTACACAAACCAATGATTGCCATACACACTGACTTACACGGGCCAATGATTGCCATACACACTGTCTTACACGGACCAATGATTGCCATACACACTGACTTACACGGGCCAATGATTGTCATACACACTGACTTACACGACCAATGATTGCCATACACACTCACTGACACAGACCAATGATTGCCATACACACTGACTTAAGCAAACCAATGATTGCCATACACACTGACTGACACGGACCAATGATTGCCATACACACTGACTTACACGAACCAATGATTGCCAATCACACTGACTTACACAAACCAATGATTGCCATACACACTGACTTACACGGGCCAATGATTGCCATACACACTGTCTTACACGGACCAATGTATGCCCTACACACTGACTTACACGGGCCAATGATTGTCATACACACTGACTTACACGGGCCAATGATTGCCGTACACACTGACTTACACGGACCAATGATTGCCATACACACTGACTTACACGGACCAATGATTGCCATATACATTGACTTACATGGACCAATGGTTGCCATACACACTGACTGACACGGACCAATGATTGCCACACACACTGACTTACACGGTCCAATGATAATGAACATTCCAACAGGGCTGGACGCGATGATGAACAGGGTGCCGAGCCAGAAGACGGTTCTCACGAACTTGAGGTGCTGGTTGGCCTTGATCTCAATGTACAGGGCGGTGTAGTGGTTGAGGGCGCCCACGCCCGTCCGGATGAGTGCCTTGAACTTATTGACCCTGTACGCCAGCACGAACAAGGAGACGAAGATGGCCGCCCCGGGCGCCACGGAGAACAGGCCCGCCACGATCTTGAACCACGTGACATCTGGATGGATATGGGTAGCAGATGAGTTTGCAATGTAACACTGCGAAACTATAGAGCAATGGTATACCACATTTCATGGGTGGGTACTGCAATGAAAATATTACATCATTTCTTTTTCAGAATATCACAAATAATAAATATCTAGGTATAAATGTATGGCTGTAGTGACACTGTGTTCGATAGGCACACAAAAGAAAAATTCCCAGAAGATAGTATGGATTGGGAATCTTATAAAGCTACATCACTTGAAGGCGTGTTTTGTCAGGTAACTGAAGTGGATGTGAAGCTCACGCAAAGCCACCGCCATTGTTTGGTCAGGCTATGTCTAGATCATGTGCTGATTAGGGGACGGTTTCAGGAACTTTGGGACGACCAGAGTGTGCTGATCAACTTGAAATCAAGGATTCTTTTGTTTTAGAATTTATTTTAACAGGGATAACCATCTAGAAAATAATTACCACCATAAATAGTTTGTAAATATACAAATGCGTTTTTGTTTATTTATATAAGTGTGTATTTATATATATATATATATATATATATATATATATATGTAAATATATATAGTATGAAATTTT